AACCAGCTCCTACATTTCGGGTGAAGTCCTATACCTCTTCCCATCCAGCAGGGAACCAGATGGTCTCCCTCTCAAAGAGGGGACGCCCGATGTGGGGGGGAGGTGAGTTCTCAGTGGTACACCCCCAAGCTGACTTACCCTACTCCAGATGTGAGCCCGGAGACTGACCAGAAGTAGCTGTTTCTCTTTCCACCATAGGGAGCGTTAGGAGGCAGCCATCATCTGCACGGGAGAGCAGCAAGGGCAGACCCGATACAAAGGGAGTCTCAGTGGCCGTGAGGGACTTACCCAACAGGTCACCCATCTGAGGTCAACTTGATGTCAAACCTGAAGTGAGCTCACTGACCTGTTGCACAGCAAGCCAATCTCTGACACTGGGTGTAGTGGAAGAAAGTAGGAGTTTTATTATTGCACAGTGCTGGGCAAGGAGAGAGGGAAGCTAACGCTGAAATCCCAAACTCCCCGAAAAGCTAAAAGGAAGGATTTTTACTTGGGGTTTTAGGTAGGGGAGGGGGAACATATGGCCTTGCTGGTCGGAGCTTTCCCACCAGCCTGTCTTTGGCCTTGAGACAACTTGCAGAGAGGAGGGAGCCCGTGACCTTGCCGGTCAGCAGCTTTCCCACCAGCCTGTATCTCTTTGTGGGGAGGAGATAATGAGTCCAGGTGCTTGTCCTTGGTGGTGTCTGTCTCCATGGAGGATAGTGGATTCTGGAGCCAGGAAGCCAGGGAGTAAGCAGGGACAGAGTGTCTTGGTTTTAACCCCATATATGCTGGGTTTAATGTAGGGAAACTGATATCAGGGTCAGTATCAAACTGGCCAAGTCCCGAGCAGGACTTATTGTCCCTTCATGGTCACCAGATTTTGTCACCTCCAAAGGGCACAATCTGCTCACCGTGAGACAAAAGCGAGTCAAGAGGCAAGATGGTGGCAGAGAAAGGGCATTTTATCACAGTTTACTAGCAAGAGGGAAGATGGCCAGCTAATGTCCAAAAGAACCATCTTAAGGGGGCACAGAATCTTGAAGCAGTTATATAGGCCAGTGGGTTATAGGGGAGGGGGTTAGGAATGTTGACCCTCTGGTGTTACAGACCCGGATTGGCCACACCAAGTAGACTCTCTGTTCAGGGGTCATCATGTTCCTGAGGAACTCAAAAGAATGAAGTTATCATCTTATCACAGCTGGAAAATGCACGCACAAGCCGGGGTCAGAAAATCTACAGAGCAGGTGGATCTCCTGGTGGGTGCATGTCCAGCTGGGTCGGTCAGTCAGAGGCCATTCAAAGTTAAAATATGGTCTCTTTTCTACAATATGGCTTCCCTTATGTCAACCTTGTGTTGAGCTGGTATCACAGAGAGGATCTGAGATGCCCCTGGGCTTCCATGCTCTCACCTCCTGGCCAGTGGCCATTTCCTCTGTCCTCCTGTCACCCTGCCCCAGGGTGGTTTGAAGCCAGGTCCCAGCGTAAGCCGTTTCAGTTTGGATCTCTGTGAGGTAACCAAGACTCTTTACCCCCACCCAGGGCTCAGAGTCAAAGCTAGGGTGTGGAATCTTGGGGCTCCTGAGGCTGCCGCTGGAGGACACAGAGCAACCTTGGTAGTGGCTCTTTCCAAGGGCAGAGCAGCAGGTGCTAGGGACCCAGGACCCAGGACAGGAGGGGCACCCCGTGTTTTGTTTCCCCACAAAGGAGTCGGCTCCTGGAGCGAAATCCCAGGTGGGGGCCCTGCACAGCTCTGAACGCTTCCTCTGTCTGCGTCTGTGTGGTCGTCTTGAGCAGCAGGATTCCCCGTTTCTCAGGACCACTGCCCTCCATTCGCTAACTGGCTCATTCTTTTGCTGTACACACCTCCAGGCAGACCTGGACATGTCCTACCCTGGACAGTCAGGTGGGCGTGGCCCTGCCTCCCCCCATGGAGAGGTGGGTGTGGCCTCAGTCCAGCTGGGCGATGCAGAGCCTGGGAGGTTGGGAGAAGCTGGGCCCTGGAGTCTGGAGCACCCCCCCGCCCCCGCCCCCGTGTTATGCAGGGAAGAGGCTGTGAGCAGCCAGTGCGGGCAGTAGTCAAGGCTCGACTGGTGGCCGGAAACAGCCAATCCCTCACTCTGGGTCGTGGTCCCTCACACTCACAGGAGAATCTCAGGACTCTCCCCTGGGGCCCTAGAGGACCAGGCGAGCTGGCATTGAAGCTCCTTCCCCCAGGCACTGCATCAGGGGCTTTCAGCGTCTCTCTGAGCCCCAGTGCCCTGTCCCAACAGGGCCCTGGAAGGGGCCCAGGGGCCGGGGGCGGAGAGCATGGCGGGGGAGTGAGGAGCATTGTGTGCAGTGGGGCCCACGCCCACCCCGTCTGGCCTCCCCGCTCTGGGGAGCTTCCAGCCTCTTCCTGGCCGCTAGAGCGTGCCACCCCTCCGGACCGGAGGAGAGGGGCTTTGGCGCCCCAGCTGCGACCCCTCCTGCCGTGGCCCCATCCTGACTGCGCCCTCCATTATTCCCGAGGGACACAGTGCCGCGCAGAGTGAGGAACAGACAGACCTAGAGAACAGAGGTTTGAAAGCCGGATTCTTACAGAGCTCCGGTCTCGGGGATGGAAATGGATAGTTCATGACTGCAGGGTCCAGCTAGTAATTCGCCCTTTAAGCCGAATATTCTTTCTTGTTTTTGATATTTGTTTCTAACATTTACCAGGTATTATTAAAATGCAGAGAATGAACAAAATGGCCCCCTAACTCACCACCCAAACACCACTACTAGCAACAATAATAAGTAAAGCAACACAGGTGTGTCCTCAGAAAGTGTACCACGCAGGAGGAGCGCAGGGGGAGCTTCCAGCCTCTTCCCGGCCGCTGCCCCTAGAAGACCTGCGCTCGGTCCGTGGCCTGGCCGTGCGCGTGTTCTCCCTCGCGCCCGCTGGGTCGGTGCGTACTGCCCGGTGGGCCTCTCCTGGCGAGGCCGGTGCTCCTGCAGCGGCACTGCCGCCGCAGGCCCTTGGAGAGATCGCCCTTCGCTCTTCCTCAGGGTGGGGCAGCGCCCAGACCTGCCCCAGCGGGCACGCGCTCTATGGCCTTTTTCTGTGAGTTCCTAGTGGCTGCCTGGGCCCATTTTCTCTTACATCGTCTTTGTTTCGTTGATTTCCACGAGCTCTATGTAACTAGCCCTTGGGCTTATGTGTCACTTCCAAATTTAGAATTGCTCTCCTGGGAAATATGGCTTGAGCAAAGGGGTTCGTTCAGTTCCCCTGTTTCTCCTAAGGCACGGGTGCACGTGCGCCATTGTTACTGAACACTGGGTGCTTGTTGTCCCGCAGGATGGAAATCAAGAGAGACAACACAAGGGAGGCTGCGTGGAAAGGAAAGGGGGAGGTGACACCCGTTAGGGAGGGGATTGTGGGGCTGTTATTAGGTGAAGGCTGGGGAGGAGGGCCTGGTCACCGCTTGTAGGGGTGGGTTGTGCTTGCGCCTGCGCTGTTGTTCAGCATGCCTCCTCATGCGACGTGTGTATCTTTAGCATGCTAGCTCTCCAGCCCTGGGTGGGATTTTTACTATGCTGATGGGGCTAGGGTCACCTTCAGTGGACTCCTGGGTGCTAGGGCGCATGCGCAAGCCCAGGGACGTCCAGGGGCTGTGGAACGTGGATCTTGGCGGCCTCTGTCTGATTCTCCTAGCCTGCCGATTGGTTAGGCCAATCTTGTTAGGGCCTTATCTTGTGGTTCCTGTCTCATTATAACCTAGAGGGCAGACGAGGACCAGGGAGACTTTGCCGATGTCCCGGGCTGTGGAACACTCGGGGAGACGTCTCCCTGGCTCTCTGGGGCCTTCCAAGCTCCTTCCAGGGAGAGAAAGTAGAGGAGAGGGCTGGCCTCGGGGAAGGGGCCCGGATAACTGGACGCTGGTCATTTTCAGGTTATGGTTTCTGTTGATGGCTAACTGGTGGCGAGGGAACTTGGCACAAATGCACAAATGCCGTCTGCTTAGCTGCAGAGCTCAGAGGAGGTGCTACAGCTCGGAGGGCTGGGAAAGTCGCTCTGAACGTCAGGGTGGCACGGGGAGTAGGGAGGGCCGAGGATTTGGGCCCAGAGCAGGTGCAGACTTTGACGTGCTGACCTTGTGTCCACTCTGCCTTGGGTAAATGGGTCACGTGGCATCTGCCCTGCATTTTGTGAACTCTGCTTTGCTGGCCAGCAGCCCAGGGCTGCCCGGTTCAGCCTTGCCCCTGTCTGCATGGGCCCTGAGCCCAGCTCCGTCTGCCTGCATCCTCAGCTACCTGCCGGAGTGCCGCCTGCCAGGGGAGGCCGTGCTGCAGCAGCCAGCTGGTCACAGCTGGCGTGGCTGGCTCACACTGCGGTGCGGGCAGCAGGCTCCCCTTCCTCATAGAGGAACAGATGCTCCATGTCTGGCTGTCCATGAGGGGAGCAGCGAATGCACCTGTGACCCGTGTGCCTGGCCTGGGGACTGCCTGTGTCTTTCCCTGGAAGCTCCCTTAAAGGACCACTGGAGTCTCCCGGACGGTCTGAGTGTGGGCGCCCAAGTGCACTGCACACGGGTGGGCCCCCCGTGCACTGCATCCACCCCAGGCCAGCTGTGCCCCCTCGCTCAGGGCCGCCAGGGAAAGCGCCCAGAGACGGGGGCTGTGACTGACAGGGCCCCAGGCAGGAAAGCTAGCCACACCTATTCCGGGCACCTAAGGGTGTGGCCCCAAGGACAGGAGGCTTGTTGGGGGGTGGCTGCACTCCCCGAGGCTGACACGAGCTAGGTAACTGGGCATGTGGCTGGCTTCTTGAACCTTGGGGCCCCATCAGCATAAGGGGCCAGTGGTAGCACCCCCAAACTGAGGAGAGGGTGAGTGAGCCAGGAGGGGCAGGTCTGCGCTACCACTGAGGGACTTTGAGCTCCCGCACTGGCTGTGGGGCTGCCTGGCAGGCCACAAAGCACTGAAGCCTGGCACCCTCCCCTGGGCTCCTTCCCTTCCCTTCTCTCCCCTCCTCCCCGCTCCACCCCTGCCTACCTCAGACGCCAAAGCCCACACCCATGCTGTTGGCAGCCTTCTCATTGGGCCTGGCACTGCTGCCTCTGCTGCTCTTCCTGCGACGCTGGGCTGGCTCCTCATCGGCTGGCACAAGTGAGTCCTACAGCCCATCCATAACCTGCTCATGGGTGACAGCAAGGAGCAGCGCATTCTGCGCCAAGTGCTGCAGCACGCGGTGGCCGGGGACCCGCAGAGCGTGCTGGAGACCATTGACGCCTACTGCTCACAGAAGGAATGGGCCATGATCGTGGGCAACAAGAAAGGTGAGTGGCCCAGCCGGCAGGCGGTGGAAATGGAAACAGGCCTCAGGCGGGGCAGCCCAGCCCGTTTCTGGGTGTTGGGGTGGGGGCTCTTCTGGAGCCCTGGAGGCCCAGGTCGCCGCCCAGCCTCCCTCCCCCAGCCAGGAGCAAAGGCCTGGCTGAGACCCTGACACCCACACCGCTGTTCCCATGGGGCGGGAGGGACGTCTAATAAACTGTGCAGGAGGCCACTGCTCAGCTGGCCCCTTTGCCACAGACCAGCTCAGCCAACATGAGTGGGAGGTGACAGCAGAGGCTCCAAGCAGGCCCCACACTCGTGCGCCATCCCACAGACCTGGTGCTGGGCAGCGCGGGCAGTGGGTGCCTGGTGTCCCTGCTTGGCCTGAGGGTATGCAGAGCTCCTTGGAGTTGCCTGGCCCAGGCCCCGGGCCGTCCCCAGGGCTGCCTCCTGACCTCTGGACTCCAGGCTGGGGCGTGAACATGTGCTGCACTGTCTGGAGTGGAGCCCTGGGGACAGACGTGACAGCCCCCTCAGAGCCTCTGACAGTGTCCAACTCAAGGGAGCCAGGGAGGCTCTGAGTATAGACCATGGGCAAGGTGGGGTGGGGGGTTCCACAGACGGCAGCTCTGGGTTAGGACGATTTGGGGTCAGCCAGGAATCATGGAAAAGAGAGAGGGACCAGTGTATGCAAAGGCACAGAGGCTTCAGGCACTTTGGGAGCCTGGAGGGTGCACAAGGTGGGACCAGGGACTTGAGGTAGGGCTGGGGGCCTCAGAGGAGGGCTGGGGGCCATCTGGGGAGGGCCTGAGGCCCTTCGGGGGTGCTGTGGACCTCAAGGAAGGCTGGGGGCCATCTGGGGAGGCCTGGGTGCCATCCTAGTAGGCCTAGGGGGTCATTGGGGGGGTGCTGTAGGCCTCAGTGAGGGCTGGGAGCCATCTAGGGATGGCTGGAAGCCTCACGGGAGGGCTGGGGGCCATCTGGGGAGGGCTGGGGTAATCTCGCGAGCCCCTGGAGCCTCAGGGGACGTCTGTGGGTCATCTGGGGAGGCCTAGGGGCCATTGTGGGGTGCTTGGCGCCTCAAGGAGTCTGGGCACTATCTGGAGAGGGCAGCGTGCCATGCTGGGGTGTGGTCCAGCATCAGGGAGGTTGGGGGCCAATAGGGGTGGGCTGGGTGCCATCCTGGGAGGCATGGGGGACATTGGGGGTCACTGTGGCCCTCAGAGGAGGGCAGGGCGTCTTCTGGGGAGGCCTGGGTGCCATCCTAGTAGGCTAGGGGTCATTGGGGGGTGCTGTAGGCCTCAGGGAGGCTGGGGGCCATCTGGGGGGGGGGGTTTGGAAGCCTCAGGGGAGGGCTGGGAGCAATCTGAGAAGGGCTAAGTGCCCTCTGGGAAGAGCTGTGGGCCTCAGGCGATGGCTGGGGACCATCTGAAGGGCCTGGGGGTCATTGAGGCGTGCTGTTGGCCTCAGGGAGGGCAGGGGGCCATCTGGGGAGGGCAGGGGCCCATTATGGGGTGCTTGGGGCCTCAAGGAGGGCTGGGTGCCACCTGGAGAGGGCCGAGTGCCATGCTGGGGGGTAGTCCACACTCAGGGAGTGCTGGGGGCTGTCTGGGGAGGCCAGCGAGCCACTGGGGGGTGTTGTGGGCCTCAGGGAGGGATGGGGGCGGGGGCCATCTTGCAGGGACTGGGGTCATATCGGGAGGCCTGTGGGCCTCAGGGGCCATCTCTGGGCCATCAGGGGAGGCCTAGGGGCCATTGGGGGGTCCTGTGGGCCTCAGGGAGGGCTGGGGGCCATCTGGGGAGGCCTAGGGGGCATCCTGGGAGGACTGTGGGCCTCAGGGAAGGCTGGGGGCCTTCTGGTATGGCCTGGGGGCCATCCTGGGAGGCCTGGGGGCCTCAGGCAAGGGCTGGGGCCAGGCATCAGGAGGGGCTCTTGCTCGGTTGGGAGGCGCATGTCCTGGCCAGGAGTGGGTCCCCACCATTGCCTGCACTTACCCCTCCCGTGCTCCACAGGCCAGTTCCTGGATGCAGTGGTGCAGGAGCAGCAGCCGTCTGTGCTGCTGGAGCTGGGGGCCTACTGCGGCTACTCGGCCGTGCGCATGGCCCGCCTGCTGCCGCCCGGCGCCCGTCTGCTCACCATCGAGATCAACCCTGACTATGCCGCCATCACCCAGCGGATGCTGGACTTCGCGGGCCTGCAGGACAGGGTGTGGCGCCTGCCCCCTAGACAGATGTGCACACTGCCGCTCCAGGCCCGGCAGGCCGGGTGGGAGGGGAGGGCCCAGGGCAAGACCCATGGTGCAGCTCGAGGCCACAGTGATCCTGCTGCAGGGTCATGGAGGGTTTCACGGGTCCCCCAGCAGCTCCGGGAGGGCGGTCTCGCTGCCCCCATCCACAAGCAGGAAACTCCCAAGGCTGCCCCCACAGGGAGCGGGCAGAAGGGGGCTTGTCTCCCCAGAACCCCAAATAGAGCTGTCGGTGGACTCTCGCGTGGGTGCCCAGGCGTGGTAGTCTGTTTGTCCCTGTGGGTGTGGGCACTGACGGAAATCTGTTCCAGGTAACCGTTGTCCTCGGGGCCTCCCAGGACATCATCCCCCAGCTGAAGAAGAAATATGACGTGGACACGCTGGACGTGGTCTTCCTCGACCACTGGAAGGACCGGTACCTGCCGGACACGCTCCTCCTGGAGGTGAGCCTCGACCCGCCTGGCTGGGATGGGCCTGGGTGCTGGCTGCTGGTGCAGGGGCAGCCGTGTCGGCGGGTCGCGGCCACTCTGAGGAGCCAGGCACCCTAGCCAAGGAGGCCCACCGTGGGCAGAGGGTGTGGCCCTGGAGCTCGGGCACTGAGGGCAGAGCCAGGCTCCACCGCCGCTGGGCCTGCCGGGAGCGGGAGGATCTCAGCAGCTCTGGTGAGCAGTGGTGACGGGGCCTCGCTCCTGGGGAAGCAGCACGGAGGGCCCTTAGTGACGGGAAGCCGGCAGTTCTCTCGGGGCTGCTGGCTCGAAGCTGGGGGTCAGCCCAAAGAGGAGGGGCCCTGGATTGGGAATGGCGGCGCTTTGAAACATGTCCTGCTGCCCTGCAGCTGGGGCTCTGCAGGCCCCTGGCCTGTGCGGGGTTGGGGCAGCCCGGCTCTGCAGCGGCCCAGCCTCCCCCCTCCTCAGTCAGGAATAAAGGGCTTGCGGGCTGGCGGGGGCAGGTGGCAATGCACAGTCCGATGGCTGCTGTGAGGGGCCTCAGCCCCTTGTCACAAGGCGTACCCACAGGGCTGCTTGAGTGTCCTCACAACATGGCAGCTGGCTGTCCCAAGAGCCTGAGTGGGAGAGCGAGAGATAGAGACAGAGACAGAGAGACAGAAGGAGCAAGGAGGGAGCCACGGTGCCTCGTATGAGCCAGGCCCTGCGCCCCACACTGTGCTCCCGCTCTTCCCTCTGTCAGGAGCCAGTCTCTGGCGCGACCCACACCCACGGGGCGAGCATCCAGACTCCACCTCGTGAAGGAAGGAGGGTCGGGGAACTGCAGAGACATTTGAAACGCCCTTTTGTCCCGCGGTGGTTTGCTCAGACGCCCTGCTCTTCGGGCCAGAATTCTCCAGCGTTCTGTGTCCTCCGTCAGGAGGCCCGTGGTGTCCCCAGGGATCCCCAGGTGGGATGGGTGCCGCCTCCTTCCCCCTTAGGTCCAGCTTCCTTGAGGATGCGCCCCGGCACCCTCCAAAGGCCACCACAGCTTCTTCCTCCGCTTGGCTCGTTCATGGTGAACTCGTGGGGTTTGAGTGTCTGATGCCTCTCACTCCTCGGACCGTCCCGTCTGTGGCCAGCGATGCCTCCTGCGTCCCTCAGCACGACCCCAGCAGGCTGGAGCCCCGCCCCCGGCGCCCCCTGGGCATTTCCTGCCCCAGCCTGAGCTGCCCGCTGGGGGCTGGGCCCGGGCTGCTCTCTCTTGGTCTGCTGGCCACCATTGTTAGGAAGTTCCTTCCTTTTCTGTTCTGAAGAGAAGCCGCTCCGGGAGTCACAGTGGTCCTTCCAACTCTGGCTCATGGGCTGTCCCACCACGCAGTCCTCACAGCTGCGTGTGCGCCTCAGGGCCGGCCAGAGGGCCCTCGGCCTCCCCTGTGGCCTGCAGGCTGGGAGTGACAGCCACCAGGAGAGCCCAGACACCCAAGACTGTCCTGGGGCGCCCCCTGGAGGGGTGCAGAGCAGAGCCCCACGGGTTTAGGTCACTTGGACTTCCCCGCGGGCTGCCTGTAGGCTGAGTCACACCTGGGGCCACGCGTGGGATTTTGCTCTCGATGTCTAGGATTACTTACTTACTTAACTTTTAATTTATGATTGTGTAAAAAAAGGCTCCGTTCTTTCAAAGTCGAATCTAGGGGACAAGACAACCGGAGCATCCCTTGCCTGGTCTGCCCCCTACAGGCAAACCGCTCTTCTCAAGGTTTCTCTGTCCGTTGTTTCCTGTGATCTAAGCAGTGCCTCCCCACGCCACTCAGAGGGACTGCCCACCCAGGCGGTCTTGGCCTGAGGCTGTGTCTAGCCATTCCTCCTTCCTTCTGAGAGCTTAGGCCCTGGAATGCCAGCTAGCTGCCCCAGGCCCAGCCACGGTGGAGAGGGGCACCTCAAATGCTGGGGCGTGGGGTTGTCCACAGCGGACCCCCAAGGGGCAGGCTTGTGGGTCCCGAATTTTGCCCCTCTGCCATCCCCTGGCCCTGCAGGGTCGCCCAGGTGAGGTGGCCCAACTCTCCAGTGACAGCCCCCAGCAGCCCACACACAGGCACCAGGCATCCCTCTTACCTGGAGCAGCCATGTGTTCCTGGCACCCGGTGACCAACGGACCCACTGGCCTTGAGGCGGCATTGTGGGTGGGACTGCAGCCCCATCGTCTCTTCTGCTCATTGTCCAGGTAGCATTTTATGAGCACCCTCTGTGTACCTGCCGCATGCTGTTCTAGGGGCTGGGGATGCAGGAGGGAGCAGAGGGGATCCCTCCTCACAGAGCTGACAGTCTGGATGTGGGACTAGTGCTGGGCACAGCGCTGTCCTGCAGTGGTCGCTGCCAGGGGGAGATGGAGGGCGGTGGGAGACCCTGCTGACCCCAGGAGCTGGGGTGGGGCCGACCCCGGGGCCAGGCACAGGCCCGTGTGTGGAGCCCCCACCTGACCTCCTGGTTTGGGGTGGGCTCCTTGATCACCCCAATCCTCACCCCTCCAACCCTCTGTCCCCTGCAGGAGTGTGGCCTGTTACGCAAGGGGACGGTGTTGCTGGCTGACAATGTCATCGTCCCAGGAGCACCGGATTTCCTGGCCCACGTGCGTGGGAGCGGCCGCTTTGAGTGCACGCACTTCTCCGCTTACCTGGAGCACGTCCAGAAGGTGGATGGCGTAGAGAAGGCCGTCTACCTGGGCCCAGACAGCCCAGCACAGCCTTGACCTCCCACCTGTGCCGGGCTCCTTTGCCCAGCCTGCTTCTGAAGGGCACTATGGCTGCCCTGCTGCCAACCCACTTCTGCAGGTTGGAGTCTGTCCTCAATGGGTGACTCGAGGCCTGTGAGGCCGCGGCCAGCCCACACTGACCCTTCTGCACAGCGGTGCTGCGTGCTCACGCACTGCTCCTCCCCAGTGCAACTGGCTCAGCGCATAAAACCATAGCAATAAATCTGGAAAGTGTCTGCTCGTAAAGACCACATCAGGGCAGGCAGAGCTGTGACAGTGTCACTCACCCCCATGAGCATCCCTTTCTCACATGGGCAGGTCCTTGGGCAGTAGACACAGGACGCCGGGGGAAGTTGGGGACATGTGGAAACTCACACAGTCTGCCCTCGAGGTTTGCCATCACCAGGTGGCAGCAATGCCTCAGTGACGGCACTGGGACCAGCAACTCACACCACCCTTCTGGCTCCCGAGCTCTGTCACCTCCTTTTTAAGCATGAGGTGCGGCCTCTTCAGTGAGGTCGGCTGTTAGCCATCTTCCATGCCAGTGTCGGGCTTAAACGATACTAAAATGGAAACTGAAGAGTGACTACTCCGATAGGAGAGGCCGCCCTAGTGCTGCCTCCCACCGCGGTGCTGCTCCTTCCGTCCTCGGCGCCCTGAGCTTTGGCACCAGACACGGGCTGCCCCCTGGACTGGGTGTGAATGCTGCGGGCGGTCCCAGGGGCCCCAGCCCCAGCACTGCTCTTCTTGCAGTCAGGCCCAGGGCGCCTGTCACATCCCCAGGATGTCTGCAGGCTGGGCGGAGTCCCCACCTGGAGGCTGTCCGGCCTAGGACCCCGGAACAGGGCCGCTGGCAGCCCTCACAACCAGCTCTGAGCAGGCAGGCGCAGGGGAAGGTGGCCCTGGCCCTGCAGCAGCGCCAGGCGTGGTCTCTCCGGCCCCTCGGGGCCCCGGGGTGACCCTGAGTGGACGCATCTTCGCCAGTCCGGCTCGGCCTTGTTCATGGGAGAGAGTGGGCTCAGACCACCCCCGGCACTTCTGCAGGCTGCCCAGCGGCGAGTGAGGAGGGAGAGGTGGTGTGCGTCCCCCCGACTCCAGAGCCGACCGCAGCCCGACCCTGGTCCTTCAGCTCCAAGGCCCCCAGTGGTTCGACCTCTGAGAATCCCCAGGGAGCCCCTGGGTCCCATCTGAGCCCACCCAGGCCCAGGCCGGCCTCCGGCCAGGACTCTACCCCAGGGTCCAGGGCCCGCTAACCACCCAGGAGGAGGCCCGCTCCCCTTTGTGTGTAGAAAGGGGATCGCAGCGAGCCTGGGGGTCGCAATGGGGAAACGTCCACGGACCCGGGCGCTGAGCAGCCCCTGACACAGCAGAGGGACACCTGGGGCCTCTGCCGCCCACCGCCCACCAGGCAAGCAGGGAGGAGGGAGCCGCTCGCAGTGAGAGATCTGAGGCACAAAGACAGCCAGTTCCTCAGGAGTTTTTTAATTTTTAAGTTTTCTTACAAAAATTTAGGTGTTTACCAATACGGTCTTATTTTGGTCTTGTTTTTAATGCTTATTTCCGTGGTTCTCTTCTGACTTCAGTCACAGACAGCAGGCACTGAACAGGAGCCCCCACTGCTCGGAAGGCAGGTCCTGGAGGCGCCGCCCGGGGCTCCCGCCTATGCGCAGCTCGGCAGGGCCTCCCTGGCACTGGGGTCCAGGCATCACGGGTTGGTGGGCAGGGGGCAGCAAGCCTGCCGCCCATCTCATGGCCTCCAGAGGTCCTGCTCAGCCGGCCCCCAGGGCATGCCACGCCCCCAGGCGGCCTGCTATGCAGGGTGGCACTCGCAGGGTGGCACTGGGAGCCCAGGGCACACCCTGCCCCTTGGCTGCCCCGTCCATGCGGAGGCACACTCTCCAATCCCACTGGCCCGAAGCCAAGCCAGGCGCCCTCTGCTGCCACCTCCTGGCCTTCTCTCTGCCCCACTCCCTCCGTCTCACGCACAGCACCGAGTCTATAAAGCGCTAACCAGCCTAGGGGCTCGGAGCAAGGGAGCGAGGGGGCGCAAGCGGGTGTGTCCAGAGTGTTGGCCCTGGCTCTGGAGCCAGAGGCCTTGTCACCTGTGGCCACCAGGCGGCTCCCAGCTCCAGCCAGGGTCTGCGCAGGCCGGCCGGAGTTCCCTTCTTTCGTGATCAGGCCTAAGAACAGAAGGCCGGCCGGGCCCTGAGGAGGGAGAGGGGCAGGCTGAGCAGGGCAGCCTGGGGCTGGGCGCCTGCCTCCATGGGCTAGGTGGACGGAGGCGTGGACAGGACAGCTGCTGTGGGCGGCGTGGGCCCATCCGGACTTGCTGGTCCCGGAGGCCCTGTGCTTGGGGCATGTGAAGCTGTGGGAGCCCTCCCTGCTCTGGCCCCAGCTCCTCTGGGCCTTGCTGGCACAGTGCCTGAGCCCAGCTGCAGGCCCAGGGAGGCCTCCCCCTCTCAGACCTTGGCCTGGCCTTCCCTCAGGTGGGCACGCAGGCCTGCCGAGGCGTGGCCCGGGGCCACAGGGAGTGCGCAGGGAGAGCAGAGCGTGCAGCCAGCAGCGATAGATGATAGATGATGGACGATGGACGAGAAGCCCCTGCCCTTGGGAGGGGACTGAGCGGATGAGCAAGCAGATGAGAGAACGTACCAGACATGCAAGCTAGACCCAGGAGTCGACCGGCTGAGGCTTAGAGTCCCCCACGGCGTCCACCAGCCTGACCGCAGGCCTGCTGGGCCCGGGAGGAGGGGCCTTCCTGCTGGGCTCGGTCTGCAGCAGAGGGGCGGTGGGCAGGAGGACATTAGAGGCAGAACAGAGCAGATTATTTGGAGCTGCCGGGTGGGGCTAGGCTGCTCAGCTGGGTGGCTCAGAGCTGTGGGGGCTTGGGTGGAAGCCTGAGGGGAAGGGTCGCTGAGCTAGTGTGGCTCCCACAGATGCAGTGAATAGAGGGTGCACAGAGCCCTCTGCCCAAGGCAAAGGGACTGGTGCAGAACAGCTGGCAGGTGCTGCCCTGGAGGCAGGTCAGGGCGGGCCTCGCCCAAGCACACGTGCAGAGAAGGATGCAGACATGCTTGTTCAGACTCCCATGGTCCAGGGCATTGTGTGGGGCAGTGCCCTCTGTCCCATGCCTCAGCATCCCACTTGGTAGCTTTCAAACATCCGCACCTACAGACCGACTCTGACGTGAGGTTACCAAGGTGGAGGGGACGCTCCTGGGGCTTGGTCTCCCAGCCCAGCTGGCCTACAGATGAGCACCACCCCAGGCTGATCCCTGATCAAACTCAGCATCTTGCTTGGACCCCTCTCCAGGCCACCCCTAGACATGCTACCTACCTGGGCACCTGCCAACAGCCACTTACTTTCAATGGTTCCTTCTCAGAGCTGCCCCCTGCAGGGTCACTGCCTCGAGCCCTCCGCTCCCTCCTGTCCACAGTGGAGTATCCATCTGCGGGGTGCGGGCACGTGGAGAACTCTAAGAGGAGGCACTGCAGGAACTAATCTCTCTTTCTGCCCAGATGCAGGGAGCCCCTGGGACAGGGGCCTCTGGAGAGGTCCCCCACTGCCCAGCCCCAGCAATGTCCTGGTCCCCTGGGCCAGGTCTTCTCACAACCCTTGCCTGACCGTGGCGTGGGCCTTGCAGCCTCTCACTTGCTTGCCAACAGGGACTCAGAACCCTCCAGCCTCCGCTCAGCTGCCCACCAGGGACTCTAACTGGGCCCTGGCCTCCCTGGCTGCTTTGCCCCTGCTCCCTGAGCGTGCCTAAACCAAATCCCTTTTCCCCAGCGTGTCCTTGGAAGGCCTTCCCAGCACCAGCTACACGCGGCGCACCCTGCAGCCCTCTCCGGCCCTTGCGCCTCCCCACACAGGAAGCCAGCAGCCCTGCGCCTGCACTCACCCGGGCCAAGTGCCTCCATGGGGAGCACGTCACGGCTGCCTGGCTTCTCGCCCTCTGCAAGGCAAGAGCAGGCGCTGGCTGGCTGCAAGTAGTGGCGGTGGGACCAGGGCAGACAAACCCACGGCAGGGCTGACCTCAGCGACCCTGGGTACTCTTTGTCACTAGGACCTCTGCACCCCTCCCCTAGGCTTCTGCCTGCTGGCACCACCCCACCTGGCTTGGCACTCACGTGGACACCACGGTGGAAAGGATCTAGGAGGGATCCTAGCAGGAAAAAGGGACCCCCACCCTGGGGCCATCCTCCTGGAAGAAGACCCTCTCTTTCCTCCACCCCTCACCCACCCTGTCATCACCAGTGCACCTGGATGGAAGAGTCACTTTTGAACCTCAAGGACGGTTCCCACGCTGCCCCGAACTCACCAAGGCTCTTGTCCCCCAGCGGTAGTGTGCTGTCGTCGAAGCCTCCGGGACTCGGGGTGCCCTTAGCTCCCTTGGCATTAGCAGCAGCTGACTGGGCAGGAGGCACAAAACAGACAGGGGTTGGGGTCAGGGACGCTCCCCTGGGGGACCCAGCCTGATAAGGGGAGAGGACAGGCCGGATAAGCCGCACCTGGAAGCGTGCCTTGGTCCAGCCTTCCTTCTGCAGGGCACCGCGCAGGTCCTTGTAGCTCCACAGGGTCTGCAGCACGTGGGACGCGGCCTTCGCCTCGCGCACCGATTGGCTGCAGCAGGCCCCCATGGGTCAGCGTCCGCCCTTCCCCCCCCCCGCCCCGCCCCCTCCGGGCCCCGCTCACCTGGCGGCGCCAAGTGCCACCAATGCCGGCACGCCGTGGGCCTGCAGTAGTGAGCGCGCGTTGTCCAGGCTGTCGGACACGATCTCGTGGATAGTGTTGAGCACTGCCACCACTGTGTCCTCCTCCAGGCGGGCCCCGGGACGCAGCTGGGCCTGCGCACTGCGCACATTCCGCACTAGCTCGGCCATGGCGTAGCTCCCTGAGGGCAGGGTCGGGTGTTAAGACAGGATCTGGGTGAAGGGCGCCCTCAGGAGCTCCAGGACGCCGTGATGACACCCTCCCCCGCCCCCCTGCACAGGGGACTAGGCCTCAGGATGGTTCAGGAAGACACGAGCTCCTGCAGCTGGGATGAGCACTGGGGCAGCCAGACACCTGAACCACCCATCCTCCAGCTCCGCTGGCGCCCCGAACCACCCGCCTGGTTCCGCTTCCTGGCTCGGTCCGCCGGCGCCCTCACCAATGAGGTCCTTGTTGCGCCGGTCCAGCGAGAGGTTGCGCAGGGCGATGGCGACAGCACGCACCACCTTGTCAGTCTCAGACTGCAGCAGCTCCACGAGCACCGGCAGCCCGCGCTCCTTGCGCACCGTGGCACGGATGTACGTGGCCCACTGCAGCGGTGGAGGCGCCCGGAGTGTGCTCAGCACCGGCCAGACACTCTCACCTGAGCCCTGACTGCTCCCTGCAGAGTAAGCCCTACCCAACAGCTCAACTCCCTCCACTTCCCCGGGGGCACGCTGAACCTCCAGGACCTTGGGGGCTGTGTGCCCCCTCCCTCCCAGCTTGGCGATGCGCAGGGGCAGGGGCAGGCACCAATGAGGCGCCTAGGATTCCCCTCTGCCCCCTCCCTGCCAGATCCAGCCTCTCACCATCCAGCTGCCAGCACTGAGGTTCTGCAGGGCACCTGCGGCAGCCTCCAGGGTGTTGAAGTTCCGGCTCTCAGTGAGGAGGGAGAGGTAGAGACGGACCACCTCGGGCTGGTACAGCAGCTCAAAGCCTGGGCACAGGGCACCCGCCGCCCACAGTCACCCAAACCTCCCCCATCACTCCCTCCCCCCACTCCTCCAGGCAGTGCTCCCAGGACAAGCGTGAGCTGGGGCCCAGGGACAGGCATGGTGCAGGCAGGCAATGCTTAACGGTCAGTGTATTCACCCCTATGGCCCCCCAAGAGGAAAAGCATTCCCATTCACAGAGGGCCAGAGGCTCAGTGAGGAGGCAGTGGGTTTGGGTGAGGTCCTTCTGCCCTTGACCCTGCTGCCAAAGAAATGGGATTAGACCTGCCTGGCAGTGGAGCATCCAGGAGGCCTGAGGTGGGGAGGGAGGCAGCAACCAGGGCCACTTCCCTAGCAACATGATTCAACCTCCCTAGCAACAAGGAATCCCTCCCCCCATCCCTGTCTGAGATGCTCAACGGCTCCTGGTCCCTCAACAATTGAGGCCCTGCCTGGAGCCCACGATGCTCCAGAGGGGAGGCGCCGAGAGGCCTTCCACATGTGCCCGTGCTCAGACACATCTCCCTCTCCTCTGTCCCCCTGCCCCTCCCCAGTCCTCATATTGTCCCCTGCTCCCTCCATTCCAGCCTTACTGGCCTTTCTGTTCCCCAAATGCTCTAAGCACCTTCCCCCCAGGGTGTCCCTCCCTCAGGATGTGTGCAAGGCTGCTGCCTTCGCCTGTGCTGCTTCCCCCTGGACTTCCCACAGCTGGGCCCTTCCAGCCGCTTAGGGCCTCTGTGCTCGCAGGGTGCGCTGTGGCCTGGTATTCACCAGGACAGACCTGACTCACTCAGGCCGGAGACCCAGTGCACAGAACAGTGCCAGCACACAGTAGGACTCCAACAGACACAGGGGACTCTGCCCCGCCTGAGTCAGGGTCCTCTCCTGGCCCGGCCTCTGTAGGGATCTCCCAGGGTGTAGCGCACCCTCCCAGCTCCCTTGGAATGAACCCGAGCTCCCTGACTAACAATGAGGCCCTGCCTGGTCAGCCCCTGCCTTTCACTGAGGACCTGGCTCCAGTCCCTGCCAGCCCCTCACCTGCTGTGACTCAGCAAGTGCCTGGCCTCTCTGTGCCTCTGTCCCCTCCCACTGCCTGAAGTGACCCATAGTACTGACCCTGATTCTGAACCCTCAGCAGGTGCCCAAGGACTGAATGGTCCCCAGGGAACCCCACACCTGTGGGCCTCAGTTTCCCCAGTGGATCTCAGAGGCCCTTCAGGCCGACTTGGTGGCACAAACCTTCACACCTGGAGAGGCCTGGGCCTGGACTCCACCTCTGCCCACTCACCTTTGGCGGCCTCGGTCCGCTTGGGAAGGTCCAGCGTGTCAAAGTTCCGGTCCATCTCACCGTCCTTCTTCCCTGGAACAGAAGGGCAGTGAGAGGTCAGGTGGACCCTGTCGGGGCAGGTGTGTGTCAGGAAGGCTGGGCACAGCACTTTCCTGCTGAGAGCCCAAAAAACACCACCACGTCCAGGACTGGGCACCAAGAGGCCGTGGGAGTGGAACACCATTCTGTGTTCCGGCAGGCAGGTCGGCCCAGGGGAGGGCAGTGGTGGCAGTGGGGCCTGGGGACATCCCAGCCCTGCCCCTAGCAGCCAAGACTCATCTCCCATCAGGTGCTGGGAGCTGCACTGCAGACTCCAAAGGCCTCCTTGCAGCTGCCAGGAGCCAGCAGCCCAGGCTGGCTGGCAGGTAGGTGCAGACATGGAAGCCAAGGGCTGGCCGGGACAAGACATGCCTGGTCGCACAGCAAGTCAGGGCTGGGGCCAAAAGTCCCACCCACGGGGAAACTTGCTCATCTAGGGCTAGGACTTGCTCATCTAGGGGTAGGATCCAGTCCCAGGATGTGCTGGCCAGGAGAGACCTCCATCCATAGGCCGAGCTCACTCCCGGCCACGCTCCCCATCTCAGATGAGAGAGCATCGCCCCCTCTGGAATGCAGCAGAGCTGAGGTCAGATGGTCTGGGCCCCTGCCCTGCTCAGCCTCATGGGGCCTTTGTGTGGTCCCTCTGAGCCACATGGAGGGGCAGACTGCTCCCCGGTGCCCTAGGGGACAGACACACCCCGGGTCCTACACACCCTCGGCGCTGCCCCAGCTCCAGCTCCAGGCCCAGGCCTGGGAAGCGGAGTCTAAGGTTACAAAGGGACAGCCCCTTGGCCTCCCAACCAGTCCAGGGTTGACATTCCTGCCGTTGTCATGGAGACAGCTGCCCAGAGAAAGGACTGGGGATGGGCAGGGCCCTGAGGCTGGAGCGCCCTGTGGCTGTCATGGAGACGACTGTCTGAGGAATGGAGTGGAGAGTGCCTCCCTGGTGCCCACTGCACCCGCCAGGCCTGGACGGTAGGACAAACAGGGACTCACCTGGATGGAACCACTCCTCTGGGCGGCCGGAGGAAGCAGAGGAGAGAGGAGATGAGCCTGAGCGGGCAGCACCCCATGCCCTCCCAGGAGGCCCCCAATTCCTACTGTACAACCCAGGTCGAGCAGGCAGCCCTGGGACCTCACCCCACTTACAGCTGAGGGCTGAATACCCACAAGTAGGCAGGGGGGAGGCCTGCGGTCAGAGCAGACCCACATGGGTGGGGCAGGTGATGGTAGGGCAAAGACTCCAGCTGGCAGGTGCCACGGAGTGTAGGTCCCTGGAACTCACACCCGGCAAATGCCAGGGGGGGACGGCGCGAAGGCAGGAGGGTGCTGCCCTCAGGGCTTCAGGTGCTCTGCAAACGCCAGGAGGCGGCATCATCTTCATCACTTTCCAACCATGGGCCTCCAGAACCCCTCCCAGAGCTGAGGGACTGGGTCCAGACACCAGCAGGGACACCACGTGGGTTCCCTCCTGCCCTCCCCTAGGGGCCCCAGAGCGCAGAGGAGGAACTGCAGGCCTGTCAGCTGCATGCCCCAGGGCACGTCCTCCCTCGCTCCCTGCATCCCCGCCTGCCCTCTGGGCTGTGACTGCCTGCCACAGGTAAGGAGAGCCTCCAGCCTGGGGGTGGGGTCCTAGAGTGGTACCCCAGGCCCACTCACACACCTTTGGCCTTCTTGCCACCAAAGCAGCTGGCGTCGTCCCGCCTCCGGCGCTGGGGGCCCGCAGCACTGCCCGGGGGCCCAGGATCAGCCTCCTGGTACCTCTCAGCCCCAGGCACCTCCTTGTGCACGTGGTAGGATAGGTTCCGCATGATGCAGACGCAGTTCTCCACAGACTGTGAGGAAAGGAAAGCTGGTGGGGCAGGGCCAGGTGGGTTTGGGGACCACTGACACTCCCAGGGAAAACTGGCCCCATCCAGCATGCATGGAGGGGCCTAGGAGTATAGAGATGGGGAAGCCCGAGCTAGGGGGCCCTCACGGGTGAGCACCTCCAGCGAGGGGCTGAGAGAGAAAAGGCTGGGACACCTACTGTTTGTAGGCCCGCACACCCGTTCCCCTCTGTGCCACCCAGAGTTCAGGCCTCCTGGGCCCTGTTCCTGCTCCTTCTCCCTGACCCTTTGCGGGAGGCTGCGAGACTGACCCTGCCCAGGAAGGACCTGCTAGGACCTGCCCCACCCTGCCCACCTTGTTGTCCGTGTCCTTCCTGCCCACGGCCGACTGCAGGGCGTGCAGGAGTGCGTCCACCAGCCCTTCACACTCCCGGAGCCGCCGCCGGGCTTCTGCACCATCCGAGCTCACGTTCCTGGGTGGCCAAGAGCAAGCCCTGTGACAGCTGGCTCTCATGGGAACTCCCCTGGCCCCTACCTGGCCTTGGGGGGGTCCCATCTGCATCTGCAAAACAGCTCTGACGTCACCCTGTTGAGGCTATTGGCAGATGACACCAGCCTGGAGCACAGTGAATGTGGAGCAGTGGTGGCCTGACCACTGAGACCCCAGGAAGTAGCCCTGGCCTGGCATCCGCGTGGGGTGGGGGGCTTCCCAAACTCCCAGCTGAACTGGAAATGGACAGAAGTGGGTCCAGAGGCCTGATTCTGCACAGGCAGCTCTGGGCTCCACCTTGCCCTGAGGATGGAGCCCTGTAGAGCCATGGGAGCACATCCTGATGAACAGGCAGGACCATGAGGACCCAGGACTTCCTGTGGGGTCTCTGCAGGGTGAGAGGACAAGGGCAGGGGTCACCAGGAGGTGGGATGAGGCCTCCAAGGCAGACTGTAGATGAGGGTCCAGGCTCCCCCTCCCCTGTCTGTCACAGTGAGGTAAAAGTGGGTGAAAGCTGGGTAGGACTGGAGCTGTGGGGTACCACACGAGAGGCTGGCAGACCTTGTCCAGAGGCTGCTCTCGGGGGTCAGTACAGCCTCATCAGGCCCCATTCTCAGGACTTGGCAAGAACTGTGACATGGCTCAGAAATTCCTAAGACTGGAGCAGCTAGCTGTCTTCCACGATATCTGGGACACGAGGATGTGGGCGTCCCAGGACAGCTGTCCCCAGGTGCCCCAGGGCTCCGGTGCCCAGCTCCTGCCTCCTTGACTGGGAACAGTCCTGGGCAGCTGCGTGGGGAGTGCCCGAGCCTGGCCCCCGCCCACACCTCAAGCAGCCTGAAGTGTTCTTGAAGACAGTTGTCCACTCGGCATCCCGTGGCTTAGAGTCCTCATTGGGCTCACGCTCCCAACCCGAGTGGGGCACAATGACCTCATGGGTCAGCGTCTGCAGGCCGTGATCAATGATGACCATCTTCAGGGGCTCGTAGGATGACAGGTTCCAGAGCGTGCCTGCAGGGCGCCACCGACCAGCCAGTGCTGACCACAGCACTGCCCTCTCTACCTCCCCACCAGACCCTGCTCAGGTCCGGCCCCACCCTCCATCCAGTCCCAGCTCAGGCCAGAGGCAGTAGTGACAAAAGCCCTGAGAAATCCTAAGAGCCCATCCCGGCCTGGGCAGGACGTACACACAGTGCCTGGGAGTGGCTCCCAGCTAGGAGGGAGCCCCAGAGAGTGTGGGATGCAGAGGAGGGACTGGCAGGGACCTGGGGCTGGACATGGTAGGTGCCTTCTCTTCCCCACCCCTTCCCAGCCACGTGGGCAGATGGGACTACCACTCCTGGGTCCATGCCAAGAGGTGGTCATGTGACCCTGCCTGGCCACCTGGGTCCCATAAGGACAATCTCCACCACTGCCCTGCTGGGGGTGGGACCACGGAGGCTGGACCCAGAGGAGTCATTGTGGGGACATGGGGACAGGCGAGGAGGGGGCCTGCCTGAGGGGTCGAGTGCCAGCCCCACCTGTGGCAGCAAAGTCTAGAGGCAGAGACTGGGGACCTGTCACGGCATCTGAGCCGGCTGCCTGCCCCCTACAGCTGGGACTCCTGACTAAATGGGGTGCTTTCTCTGGCCAAGCCTTGCTCTTGCCTCTTCCCGGGGGATGTGGGGAATGCGGGTGCTGGGGCGCCACTCACCTGTGACAAGCTCACGGACCTCATTGTCCCGAGCGGCCCGCAGCAGGCGCACCAGGGCAGGCACGCCGCCGCAGTCCCGGATGGCAGCCTTGTTGTCAGTGTCTCGGCCATAGGAGAGGTTTCGCAGAGCCCCGCAGGCCCGACGCCGCACCTCTGCCCTCGGGTGGTCCAGCAGAGCCACGAGCAGCGGCAGCCCCCGCAGCTGCCGCACACGACGCTTGATGCCCTCGTTCTCGAAGCACAGGTGCTGCAGGTAGGCGGCCGCGTTGGCCTTCACGGGGTCCACGGGGTGCCGCAGCATGGCCAGGACCTCGGGCAGCTCGGGGTCCCGCCAGCGCGGCTCCTTGCGGGCACTGTCAACCGAGGGCGAGCGCCGCACTGCCCGGTCCAGGCTGCCCAGGCTGCCCCGTTCTGGCTGGGCCAGGGGTGCCGTCGCGGCCGGGAACAGGGGCCGCTCCTCCCTCAGCTCACCACCATCATCTGCCCCGTCCTCACAGGCCCTGTGCAGGGAAGCAGGGCGTAGGCACACCTTGGCAGCCGCCAGCCCTGCCCCTGAGCTGCCCCCTCACACCTTCTCCAGGGTACCGTGAACCCATGGACGGCGGGGCTGGGCCTACAGCATTGTCCCCAAGCATTGGGCGGGTGCTGAGAGTCACAGCTCAGCCCGGCAAGAACTGACTCAGTGCCAATGACAGAGTCAAACCCCAGCCAGTGGTCATCAGGGCTTACAGCCCTCCCAGACAGAGAGCTCACTCACTTCCATCAGCAGGCCACGTTCCCCAATTCTGAGTTCAATGTATTTCTAGAAAACATTTGTTCATGACTGGGGGTCCCACCTCTCCATGAGGCTCATGTCTGGCTACTGCCAGGAGGTGGCCATCCTGCTGAGAGGATCTGAGGGGCATTCAGGCCACCAGTCCCCCAGGGCACAAGATGTCCCTGTGGGTTGTCACCATCAAACCCACTTCCGGGGGGGGCAGCATTGAGGCAGAAAGGGTCAGGTGTCTAGCCCACGGTCACGCAGCAAAATCCAGTCGTGTTCCCACTCTAGACAGGGAAACTAAGGGCAGAGAGGACAGAACCAGATGCTGTGCGAGGCAGGGCTGGGGGGCCTGGGTTCTGGTTGCTACTGTACATGGGGGAAATTGAGGCCTGGGGAGAGGCTGGGCCTCGAGCTCAGAGAAACGCCCTGAGCTTCTTGTGCTCACATCTTCGTGGGCCTCTGGCTGGAGCAGGTGTCAGGCACTGTCACCAGCTTCTCTCAAGGCCCAGACCCACAGGGAGGGTGCCCAGTGCACCTTCCACCACCCCAAAGCCTGCCCTTACCGCTGTCCTGGAGAAGAGCCAAGGCCAATTCAAACTAACGTGTGCATGACTGACTTAGCCCAGCAGCTAGACTACCCGCGGTGGACTCTGTGGCGAAGGAGTGGAAGGCAGACCTCCTGGAGGTGGCAGCAGGGCTGAGGACGCTCACCTGGTGCGGAGGCCCCGCCCACAGTCGGGCCTCCTCCGTGCGGTGGTGCCACAGTCGGGCTGCAGGTCCGCGCCTCCCTCGTCATCAGCAGCCAGGCTGCGCGTGTCGTCCTCCAAGCCATAGGGCTCAGCCTGGAAGCGCTCAGGCTGGGAGCGGCCAGCTGGCAGCACAGGCTCAGGGCCCACGGGGAAGGTCTCACGGTGGCCAGGCAGTGTGAAGCAGCCATCGCCAGGGCCTGGGCCAAGGGGGCCACCTCGTGGGGGTCGCACACCCAGCCCACGGGACAGGCTGCCGTAGTTGGGGACCTCATGGGGCTCAGGGCTATCAGGAAAGGTGCCCCCGCTGCTGAGGTAGGCGCGGGAAAGCGTGGCCGCTGGGCCGCCCCCACGCAGCAAGAAGTGCCTGTCCAGGGGTCCATCAGCAAAGGGGCCTAGCAGGGGGCCGCCATCCAACAGGGGGAGGCCGTCTGGGCCCACGGGCACCTGGCGCACTGTTCGTGTTGTCACCGTCTTGACGGTCTTGGTGACCTGGTGGGTAAGTGGACGGCCGGTGGACTGGGCAGCCTGAGGGGCTCAGACACTGCCCCAGTAGGGCCAGGGTGGCCTCCATTTTCTACCCAAACAATGGGCAGCCCCCAGGAGGCTGGGACACGTGCCCACTCGGCAAATGGGACAACTGTGGCTGCAGAGCCAACATACCCGCTGCCTGGGCCCGGTCATACCTTGGTCTCAGTGCGTCGGGTAGTGCCATCTTCTGACGTGACAATGGACACATGGGAGGTGGGCGTGCCGGGGTCCTCCTCCACTGTCACTGTTTCCTCCAGAACCTCGGGCGCCTCTGGCATGGCAACCAGTGAGGCCTGGCTGCCCGGGCTCTGCTCCTGGGCGAAGGGGGTGGGCATCAGTGGAAGGATCCACTGCTCACCCTGCCCTGGAGCACTGATACTCATGCTGGCGGGGATGCAGCAGTGCCTTCTTCCCAGCCCCAGAACCCACCAATCCCAGGGCTGTCTCAGCCCCAGCCGGTGAGGACGGCAGCACATTCCTGCCTCCAAATGCCGAGAGGCTGACCTTGCCCTGTCACCCCATTCCATGGGGGGCCCTGGGGACTGGCTCCCCCTCCCAGGGCGTTCATGAGATGAGCTGACAGATGAAGCCTTTGGACCTGTGGTGCAGCCTTGGACAGCCCTGTCTGAGTGCCAGGCTTCTGGAGGCCCGGAGTATGCTCTCCAGACATTGCTTGCCACCCCTGGCTGGACCTTTCCGGTGCCCCAGGCCTCCTCCCTGCCCCAACCCAGAAACCTTAAGCGCAGAGGCCTTGGGGGAGCAGTTTCAGCACTGTTCACCGACTCCCCGTGGCACACCCAGGCTCCTGCTGTCCCCAAGGCCAGCTAGATGCCCTTGCAAAACAGAAATATCCAGCTTCCAGAGTGCCCTGTGCACTCAGAGCACCAAAACACCCTTGCTCCTTCCGGCATGGACACTCCTAGGGTGTTGAGCGGGCACAGCCTGGTCCTACCTTGCTTGGGCCAGTGGCCCATGTCCCCCACCAAGACCCTGGGTATCACATCAGAGCCCAGAGAGGGTGGGTTCAGGCCAAGGGGACCCAGCTGGTCCTTGACGGCAACCACAGTGTCCCCTCCCCACACACCCCCAAGGTCTCCTCAGCTCTGGGCCACCTGCCTCATTGTTAACCTGCATCTCTCGCCATCATGTGTCCCTGTGATGTATGACCATGGGGGAATTCCAGGCAAGACGAGCTCTGGACAGAGGCTCTTCTAAGGCCCACATACCTACTGGCCAGCAGGGAAACTGAGGCTCAAAGAGGACAGACCAGCCCACAGCAGAGCCAGGCCAGACCCCTGCTGTGCTGAGTGGCACAGGAACCTGAGAGCCACAGTCTTCCCCCGGGCCTGACCACATGGGTCCTCTGCACAGCACCGGTGTCCTGGGATCAGCATCTGGCCAGGATGGGTAGGGAATGAAATCCAAGCCGAGGTGGGCGGGCAGCCAGGGCTGGGTCAGCAGGAGGACAGGCCCTGCTCCCCAGCCCAGGCCCTGTGCCTTGCAGGATGGATCCCTTGCTGGGCCCCCAGACCCTGAGGCCTGCAGAGACACGAGCTGAGGCCCAGGGAAGGCCAGCAGCTCACATCCTCATCTGCCTGGCATCAGAGCCCTACTCTGCTCCTGTCCTTGGGCCCGGGAGCTGTGCAAGGCAAGGCACCCAGAGCAGCCTGCAGGGCCTGTCTCCGGAGCTCCCCAGGGCAGGAAGTTTCCCCAGGTTGGGGCCTGGTCCTGAAGGGATACTTGATCCTGCAACTGCACGCAGTGTTGAGAGTCTGGGCTCCTGTGATCTCTTCAGGGTTCCAGGGAGAGACCTGCACCAACATGTGAGGACAGGGGATCCCTCGGGCTCTGGTGACACAGGAAGAGGCCACAGAATGCAACCTCCTGCTCCAGAAGCAGGGCCTCAGAGGACAACTCGTGATTTTACATAAAGGGACACAGGCCTGACAGAGGGCACAGGATTCACCCGAACTCCCCAATCCACTAACGGGAATCTCAGGCATCCGCAGGAAGGTGACTTTGCCAAGCCTTTTAGTCACACTTTGCTCCTCGGGGGGCTGTGGCTGCCACCTTCTCAGTCTTGGGATGTGGGCGGAATGTCTGTTGGGAACCTTGCCAGGAAGGAGGAACACTATTCCCTGGGAAAGAAAAGTAAACTGAGGCCCGGAGTGGGGGCATACTGGTGGGCTGCCGCACAGGGTGGCCTGGGCTCTTCAGGGCACTGGGGAGCTGGGACAGTTCTGGAGCAGGGGAAGGTCCAGGGACAGCGTGTCACTGCTGAGGCCTCAGCAGCCCCATCTGTATTTGGCAACTGCCAGAGCAAATGTGTGGCAGGGGCCGCGCTCTCTCTGCTGGGCCCTTGGGGCCAGGTCCTGGGGCTACAAGTCCGGGCGATGGGTGAGGACCAAGACTGACTAAAGGGGACCAGGATGTTGTCCAGGACACTGCCAGTGGGACACGGCCCCTTAGTCGGTTTGCAGACATTTGCAGACATTAACACCCCGAGAGAAGAGCCTGCTACCCCCTAGCCAGGCAGTGGCGGGGAGGTGGGGGAAGCCCACCTGGGCCCTCAATGCGACTATGTGGCCCAGCTTATTCCTCTCACGCCAGCCTGTGGTGATGGTCTGACAGAGTGCAGAGTTGGGGGGATGAGGGGATGGAGGGGTCCAGGAGAGCCAGAGCCCCTCAAGGAGGCCTAGCAGTCCTGCAACATGGCCCACTAACACCCAGCTTGGGCAGCCTGGCAGCAGGATTGCAGGGCCCCAAGAGCCCCCGCTGGCACATGACCTCAGGGAGCTAAAAATGGGCAATGACTTCACGCGGGCGGGTGGGCAGGCAGGCGAGCGTGAGTCAGCCGGTAATCATGGGAAGGTCCAGCCCCATTACACATGCAGACAAGGACCTGGACACACATGTGCACATACCTGGTCCTTCCAACAGGGACACGTGCATGTACACACGTGCGTGAGCACCCAGCCCGGCCCACAGGCCTGAGCACATCAATCTTCGTGCTCTCCTGACAGCACCCAGCGCTCAGTGCCCACTGTCCCCAGAAGCACTCACATGTGCACACACCCCCATCACCTCCCTCAACCACCCACGCAGATGTCCACTGTGGGGGGGGTCTCAAGAGTGGGCAGCAGATGGCAGAACTGAGGCCTAGGGTAGGGAGAGGCCCTAAGGGGACCCATGGCTCAGGCCTGTGCAACACCTTCAGGGCAGGGACATGGGATCATGGCCTAACAACCAGCACACAGTCAACACTCAACAGAGGTGGCTAAGCAGGGTGCCTGGATCCTCATCCGGCCTTAAGGCCTTGCTCTAAGGCCCCATGTCCCACGTCCACCTACCCAGGCTGGCCTACAGCCCCAAGTTCCCCCTGCACCCCAGACATGGGCACCAGCCTGGAAACACCACCCCCAGCCTTCGCCCACAACCCAAATCCTGCCAAGTCCTGTCAACTGTTTCTTACCATCTCCTCCTCAGCCCTGGCCTCGGTCGGCCTTGCCCCTCTCGCTGGGACCACTGCCCAGCCTCCCATCACTGACCTCCAGGGCCCAAATCTGTCCCAGGGCACTCTCATCCATGGTCTACCTGGTCCACAGCTGCCGGGCCTGGCCCAGGGAGGTCCTGCTGTGCAGGCCTGGGGTTTCCACTGGGCATCCTTGAACTTGTGGGAGGGGCCTGGCCCAGGACTCCAAGCCAGCACCCCAGAAAGGTGGACCCAACCACCCGCCACTGCTCTCAAGAGGGTCCCAGAAGCACAGAGCTGAGTGCCGTGCTAGAGCCCTGGGCGCTGTCACACCCCTGGGGCTCAGCTTCTTCATGGGGAAACAGGAAGGACCCAGGGGTCAAGGCTGTCACACCTTTGTGGCCAGATCCAAGGAGCGTGGGGAGTAGAAAAGTGAGGTGTGGGACAATGCAGAGGGGCCGCCATCTGAGCAAAAGCCTACAACAGCCTCTGGGGTGCATGTGGGAATGGCAGAGGGAAGGGACAGAGAAAACAAGCCAAGTTCTAATGATGGGGCTGGACTGAGGTCCTGGAGACATGGATCCACTTATCCCACTTACAGTTGGCAGGTAGGCACCTACAGGATGCATCATGGAAAATAAACTGTGGGGTGAGTGCCCCACCCTGTTCACGGCCTCACTAGCACACACAGGGTAGAGGTTAAGGTGGGATCTCACATTTGGCTCCCACAACCCCCAAAGGGCACAAGACGGCCGCATGGGACAAATGAATGGAGAGGTAGAGGAGTGAAAGGCCCCCACCAGCACAGCCATTCTGGATGGAGTCCAGGACAAGCCAGGCTGGCATCTCCCACCAAGGCACAAACTCTTGGCCACCACAAATGCTCTCTCCCTTGGAGCCCATGGCCTCTCCCCAGCCTTGGTAGACAGGAGCTCATCCCTCAGCAGCAGCAGTCCACCTGCCAGGGCGCGGCCCCATGCTGAGTGGCCAAGAGGCCAAGGGGTGCGGATGCTCAGCAGGCTAGGGGAGCAGGCTTGTATGGGTGTGTGCGGGGGGAGAGTAGGGCTGGCTGTCACCCAACCCAGCTTCCCTGAGCCCTGCCCACATCCACCAGCCACACTGTGGCCCAAATCCCCCCAGTGCCCCCAGCTGGCCCCCCATCTCTGGGGCAGTCAGTGGCCAGATCCTGGGGGCCACACCAGAGATGCACAGCAGGCAGGGACTCAGCGGGCGTGTGGGGGACCTACTTCCCACAAGGGGCTTGGGGTGGCTGCTCCTCCACTCGGCCTCTCTCCCGGCATGTTACTGGACCCCGCCCCTCTCTGAGCAAGAGGGCAGGCTGTCCACATGCCCGGTACTCAACCCCGGTACTGAAAGACCCCCTCCCAACTCTCCATGCGGGCAGGGCATCCTCCACCCGCCTTCACGTGGCTGCCGCACAGACGGGGCTCCATTAAAGCTCCGGAAGCTTCTTCACAGGTCTCCAGAGTAGGAGCCCGCTTTGGGAGTGTGAAGGGAGGGGAGGCCCAGTGAGCCCCCAAGGAACAGGAGGCCCTGCCAGGCTGCCCTCTCCAGCCTCGGCCTTCCTCCTGCATAGAGGGGCTGCTGGGGAACGCCCTCGCCCCCACCCCCGGCTCCGGCACCTGCCCTGGGCGCTGGCCCGGGGGTGAGCCCACCCGGTCCGGGAGCCGCTCCCTGCGCAGGGTCGCGCCGCCCAGGGGGCCCCGAGCCCGGCCCCCAAGGAACGGCTCTGGAGACCCCGCGGCCAGGCCCGCGCCTTGCACACCCCCGGGGCGGCGCGCTCACTCCGCCGCCCCTCCTGGCCCCGGGGCCAGACGCGCCGGCCGGAGCCCAGACAATAGCCGCCTCCGGCCGGCGGCTCTGCGGAACAAAAGCGGTCCTCCCGGGAGGCCGGCGCCCCGCCCTCTGCCGCCGAGCCTGGGACGGTGCCACCCGCCCCGGACAAGTTCCTCCAACCTGTCTGAGTTCGGCCGGCATCGGGCCGGGCTCTGGCGCGCGGGCGGCAGCGGCAGCTGGACCGGGCTCGGCTCCGGCGCCTGGCCGCTCGGGTTCGGGCTCGGCGGACCCGCTCCCCGCGGGGGCGGGCCCGGCGGCGGTGGCGGCGAGCAGCCAATCGGGCGGGGCCGCGCCCAGGCGGGGCGGGGCGGGGCGGGGCGCTGCGGCCGGCGCGCCGGGGCTCCTCCGCCACCCGCCGCCGCTCTGCCCTCGCGCCCCTGCCCACGCCCGCCCCGGGGGGGGTGACATTTTCCCGCCGAGCAACTTTGGCCGAGTCCTCCTTCCCAGGCCTCGGTTTGCCCCGGGTAAAGGAGTTCACACGCCCCTTCCCCTGTGGAGTCGGGGAAACTGAGTTCTGGCAGAGCCGGCGGCGGTGCGGCCATCGAGAGAGCGCAAGGCCACCCTCCCGGGCACGAGCTGCTTATCTTGGCTGCGACTCAGTATCCCCTTGCTGCGAAATGGGGGCCGATGAGACAGTAGTTACACTGCAAGAGTTCTCAGGTCTCCCAGATCCGGCCCCAGGCCCCTGCCCACCCGCCAGCACGGCCCTCCAAAGAAACGTTGGCATGGATCTCCACAGGGACCTGGCAAATGGCGGTGCACCCATGGGCTTTGTCTTGTGTTCTCCTCACCAAGACACAGAGGCCCAGGGTACCCCCCGACTCCGAGTGGTAGAGCAGATCAAACAGTGGGGTGGGGGCCCAACTGTTGGGTGACCCTGGGCGAAAGCTCATGGGCCGAGCTGGCCTCAGACTCTCTCCTCTAGGCCTGTGATCTACTGGGAAGTGGTGGCTGGGGTGTCAGGGTGGCTGGTTAATCAGGGCTTCTACTGCTGGGGTGCACTCCCCCCAGCAGCCTGGTGAAGGGGTAGCCACACCCTGAGGAGTCTGGCTCAGCTGGGGGGACACAGACACAGGGGAAGGACCCACCTCTGGGGTCATACCCCACAAAGGCAACTCAAAGGCTCTGACGTTGTGAACAAAGAAGCTGGGCTCTGAGATAACCAGAGGGGGCCAGCGCAGGGAGGTTCACTGGGTGGGGCAAGAGAGGGCCTGGGGCCTGGCCCCCCGCCTCCCACTTGTTTTTCCCCAGATCCCCTGCTCAGAAACCAAGCCATATCTGGGGCCACCCTCTGCTTCCACGACACGCCATGTACATAGACCATGTAGCTGGCATGCTGAAGCACTCTGGGTGTCCACTGCATGTCCCTCTGAGCCTCAGTTTCACCACCTGCACAGGGGTAAGTTGCCCTGACCACTGGCCCCCTGCATCTTCCATCCATGGCAGCCCTAGGTAGAGCCCCGTGGGGCCGGAGCAGGAGGACAGGACCGTTGCCCTGAGGGAGCCTGGCCTAGATGCTTAATTCGAGCTGTCTGTCTTCTCCCAAAGTTCACCAGCTGCTAGTGCCCCAGTCACATCCCCACCTTGGCCTGGCCCGAGGCTGGCAGGTCCCTAAAGGCGCCCCACACACACACACTGGGTGAGGGCCAGCTCTGCTCCAGCCAGCGGTCTGGAGGAGGGGACTCTTCCTGCTGGAGGATGAAGGGCAGGCGGCCAGGACTGTGGAGCAGCTAGCGGGCACAGCAGCAGTAAACCCTAGCCTCTCAACCCCCTGGGCCCAGCTACCTGCCTGGCCACTGGCCCCTGTGTTTCACAGACCTCTGCTCCGACCCCGAGGACAGGCTCCAGGCAGTCGGTGGCTCAGCAGGTAGGTCACCAGGCACCTCCTGCTGAGAGGAATCTGGGAAGCAGGTTCAGGTTCAGCACTGAGGCTGCCAGGCCTGGCCAGCTGGATGTGGCCCCACCTCCCTAGTGTCCCCGTCAGCCCTGCCAGTCCAGCCACAGCCCTGGGAACACATGCCCTCTCAGACCTCAGCCTGAGAAAACCATCTCCTCCTGAGAGAAAGAAAACCCAGGGCAGGCTGAGAGGGCCTTGGGTGGGGAGGGGCAGTGGGCACGGTAGGGTGGTGGCCTGAGGTCCTCAGTCCACAGCCCTCAGGGGGCCAGAGCAGCACCTGGCTATTGGAACATCTTCCCACAGGCATGTCAACCCTCAGTGGTGCCCTCTGGGCTGGAGACTGGAGCCCCTTCCAGCCTGGGAGTGCTGGATAGAGCACCTGGAGCCTGAGGGGCGGCCTCGGGGTCACTGGCTGCCAATAGTGGTGGCCCAGCTGGGCTGCTCCACTCCCCTCCAGGTTTGGAGGTACAGGCTTCATCCTTTGCTGTGCCTGGGGTTCGGGGGTGGCAGCGGTGGGTCCCACACCTAGACCCACCCCACCTCAGCCCCAGCCTCCTGTGGACTGGCTATGTAGCCCACCTGGGGCTCTCTGGAGACATGGCTTTGGCTGTGACTGTGTACCGTGTTGGGCTGCGTATGGAGATCACCCACTGGCACATGAGGACATCAAGGCTTGGGGGCAGTCACTTGCCAGGTCCCCCAGCCTGACATGAGCCACTCCTTCTGAGCCCCGCACACCCCAGCTAGGCAAGGCTAGCCCCCTGGACCAGTGTACCAGTGTCAGCTGAGACCAGCACCTTGCTTCCTTTCTCTCTAGCCACAGAGGCCCAGGCTGCCCCGAGCCTCCAGCACGTGTGTGCGGGGCCCGCATCCGCAGCCTGTCTGGTTCCCTAGATTTGGGGCCCAGTAGACCAGAGAAGGAGGGTGTGCATGTGCTGGGGGACACATCAGGACAAGGGCTGGCTGCTAGGTTTAGGAGGGCAATGATGCTGCCCCTGCTCAGGGAGCTGAGCCAGGGAAACTGAGGAGCCTGCGAAGAGGGCCCTGTACGGTCACGCTGAGGAGCCCCTCAGGCCTCTGAGCCCAGTGGTGAGCAGAGGCAACAGGGGGAGGCTGCACGGTGGGCTTCCACCCAGGGGCCCTCCCCTTCCCGCACCTCCTAGGAGAGCTCCGTCCTGCCTGACCTCTGCCCTGCACCTCAGTCAAGAATAGGAAGCACAATGATCACACCAAACTCCAGGCGCCCTGCATTTCCTGTGCTGCCCCCACCACCTGTGCAGCAGGGGCTCTTGCTGCCCCATCTGCAGGTTAGGCACCGGGCACAGTGGTGGGCTGGGGGAGTCCAGGCAGTCTGACTGTAGCGTACACCCCCTACTTTGGAGTTCTCAGGCTCTGGCCCCAGAGCAGACAGGGCTCCACACCTCCTGGGCCTGAGCCCAGCCCGAGTCCAACGGCCAGGCCCAGAGGCTCCCAGGCTCCCCTCTGAGCTGCAGGCAGGGCCCAGGGCCTTTCTTGAGCCTTCCCCTGGGGCTGACTCACTGATGCATGCAATGGAGGAAAACACCATGGCAGGGAGACTCCAGGGCTGGCAAAACCCTCAGTGTCACCAGGCTGACCGCTGAGCTGCCCAGAACAGACCTTGTAGCTGCCTGGGCCCTGACGACTCACTTGAGTGGAGAGTGCTATTCTGAGGGTTGGTTGGGCTGTGTCCTACCCATTCATCACCTGGTGTTCTGCACACCCAAGTGAGACTTCTAGCCCCCTCAGGATCTCATTTTTCTCCCCTCCCCAGAGGCCCTAAGAGGTCTTGCTATAAGCCATTGCATGCTGGCTTGTGGTCCACCAGGGCCCCTTGATTGTTTCCCCACTTAGCTATTTTCATGCTTCCTGAGTCACTGGGCTGTTACCTGCAGGACCAGCTGTTGCCAGGCCATCGACAGGGGCTGCCCACTGCCCACACCACCACTGCCCACACCAGGCTGCTGGGCACGTTCCAGCTGCAGAGCAACATGGCGCCGCTCCTGCTCCAGTGCCCGAGTCAGCCGCTCGAAGCGGGCCTCCTGCTCCTTCACTGAGGCCAGGATGCTGGCGGCCGAGTGCATGTTGCAGTCCTCCATGACCAGAATGCTCGCTGGCTGCAGGTAAAGCAGAGCAAGATCAGGGTGGGGCTGGAGCAGAGGCCTGGAGAGGCCATCACAGGCCCCCTGTCCACCCCACTCTTACATCATACGACTCACTCCCAGACCGGAACATCCAGCTCTCCAGAGAGACGCTGCATTGATTAAATTCTAAATTAAAAGCCATTAATCCGAGCCTGGCCGGAAGCGACCCGCTCCCTCCCTGTGGGGTATGGGCTCTGACTCAGGCTCCCCTGCTCCCTGCCAGGCCCAGCAGAGCCAAGGGCCACGGGCGCCCAGAGCCCGCCAGGCAGGGCGGGGCAGGAGGAGCTGACATGTCCAGCTCACAGACCTCCTAGGCTCTCTGCTGCCCACAGCGCAGTTCACCTCCCCACCATCTTATGGGCCAACCCAAGCCCATTTCACTGAGGTGACCGCTGGGGCACAGAGAGGGTGGGGGACCTGTCTGTAGCCACACAGCTGGTGTGGCAGAGCTGGTGCGCCTATAGGCAGGAAATGAGAAGCTCCGCCACAGCCATCAGGTGTCCTGGACACCTAGGGAGGTGCAGGGGTGACACTGGCCTGCAGACCAGCATCCGGCCTCCAATCACAGCCACGCTGGCTGGGAGCAAGGGTAGCGTCTGCGCATATGGCAGAGTGAAAACCGAGCATAGTCTGGTTGAGATTCTGTGCCTGTAAACGGGTTGTGTACCTGATGCCCAATCGGGAGGGAGACTGAGGGCAGAGGCCTGGGCGTCCAAAACCAAGCATGAGGGGTGGGTCAGCACTGCCCCTGCAGGCCCCAGGGGAGCAGGTGGAGGTGGCAAAGACTCCGCAGCTGCAGCAACAAGCCAGTGCCTTCCTGACCACTTGCCCCTGGCTGCCCAGCACGTTTGTTTTTCATGGGCAAAAAGCAACAGAAGTCTGTGGAGCTCAGACCAGGCATACGGCAGTGCGTGGGGTGCAGGCCATGCAGCCACACTGCCTAGTGCTGCTCAGGGCCTCCTCCTGGCCTGATGCATGCCAGCCCACTGAGGCTGTCTAGCCCCCTCCCCCTGCACCAATGTGGGGCCTGGGCTTAGAGACACAGCACAGCAGGCAGCAGCCCCAAACGGCCAGCTCTGCTGCTCACTGGCCTAGGTGGAGCTGGCTGCAAAAACATAACCCTGGAGAGGAAGGGTCAGTGCTGGGTTTGGCCACACCAGTGCTGGCTGGGCCAGGGACACGGTTGGGGGGTATGGGTGTACTTCGAGGTGAAAGGACACTGCAGAACCCAGCCCACTGTGACAGCTGGGGAAACCAAGGCCCAGCGAGAGTAAGAGACCAATGTAGGTCCCAGAAGCTGTGCTTCATTTTCCAGCCCCTCTCACACAAATAAAACGGTGCCAGCATGACCTAGCAGAGGGGCAGTGAGGTCAGCATAGCTGGAAGAATGAACCGAACTCCTGCTGGAAGAGGTGGTGGCTGTTGCAGGGCGGGAGGCAGGGGGGAAGTGCAGACCGCATCGTCTGGCCAGCAGGGAATCAAGGACAAAGAGCATGGCGCATCCACAGTAATGGGCACGCAGCCCCAGCCTCCAGCTTCCTTGCCCTGAGCCCTCCAGCATACCTCAGCTCTGAGGTCCAAGGAGCCCCATCCCCTCAAAGGGGGTCCATTTGCTCTGGCTAGGGGTTGGCCAGGGGCCCAGAATCCTGAGGCTACACCAAGAAGGTGGCCAAACCCCACAATGACCTTCCCCTTGTCCAGTTCTCTCAGCAGGAGCTAAATAACTGTGCGTCCCCAAGGAGACACCCTCGCACGACAGCCAGCCCAGGGGTGGAGAACCCCACAGCGCCCACAGGAGAGCAGAGGCCCTGAGTCTGGTGCCCATGCCCTCTGTCCCAGCCTGAGGGTGCACCCCTCTGTCTGCCTGTGGGTTGGGGTGCCGAGCCCTTCTGGCTGCAGCCTTGTCACTTTGGCGGCCTCGAGGCCAGCCGCGGGGTGCATGGGAGGCCGGCTGCTGGCCAGGGGCATCTAGGAGGCAGGGAATACCCGGACCCACTCCCCTGACATGGTGGCCCCTCCAGTCCAAGGTGCAGGGCCCATGTACAGTAGCATGTGCAGGCGTAGGCGCCCCAGGCCAGCACCCCAGAGAGCAGCTTTTCTGATGGCAACTCAAAATGCTATTTTTATATTAAAACAATAAATATGTGATGACATGGAAGGCAAAATGTACATGAATTTTTAAGATCAACCACAGACTTCAAAGACATTTTCCCCAGCTGGGCCTTGGGATGGGGCCCCAATCCTGGGTAGGGGTGAGCACCAGACTCGCTTCCGCTGTGGCCCCGAGGGCCTGGGGCAGGCAGAGAAGCGCCATTCTGCGAGACCTTGGCTGACCATCTCCCCTCTGGCTGATGCCATCACAGCCTCTGTTCACCTGAGAAGGGCCCCACACTGCCTGCCGGGCAGACCCCTCACAACCCCAATCCAGACCCCAGCCACCGGCTTTGCAACTCCTGGGTAGGGGCAGCATTGTGCCCCACATGCCCGCCTGCCCACCCGTGGAGTCGATTTAGCAAGAAGAGGTGAATGAACATGCCGGCCCGAGACAGCCTTGCCCGTCCTGGGGCAGGGGTGGACATGGTCGACCTAAGGAAAGCCTGTCCAGGCCCGGGCACCCCAGGAGTGACCCAAGGTGGGTGAACTGATGGGTGGATGGAGGGATGGAAGGATAGGCAGCTGGATGGAAGGGGAAACGGATGAATGAGTGAACAGATGTATGGACAGGAGGGGGAGCAGGTGGTTGTAAGAGAGGATGGGGGTGAATGGATGGGCAGGTGTATGGGTACACAGGTGGGTGGAAGAATGGGAGGCTGGCGGGAAGAACGAGTGAATGCACAGTTGGGTGGATGAACAGGCGGGTACGTGAGAGAACGAGGCTCTGCAACAATACCAGGAGGAGCGAGTCTCGGGCCCTGGACCCTCTGGACACAAGTGTGGCTAGTACTCGCTCCATCAGGAAAGTGAAGGCACCATCAGAGGACCCAGGGGGAGACGCCAATCCTTCCCCAGAAACCTAACCCCACATCTGACGTCTTCCTGCTGACCCAGACATTCCTCTTCAGGAGACCAGCCAAACCCTGCTCCAGAAAATCAAATGATGGGGCCTGAGTCCAATCTGAGGAATCAGAGGAATTTCCTAAGGGTCAGGCCGGCAGGGGGAGGCCTGGGCTCCATTCCTAACCCCTCAATGACCATCTGTGGGCACACTGCCCACTGCCCCTGTCCCCCATGAGGGGAGAGAGGGAACTGGCCACTGGATGAGCTTCCTTCCACAGCCCTGGCTCCTGCCCATCCAGATGGGGAGGGAATGGTGCCAGCAGGAGCAGAACCCAGGCCCAGCAGTGCCAAAGCGCCTCTTGGCCTAGGAGGGGGTCATGTCCCCGCAGGCGCTGCCAGCATGGAGACGCGCTTCCCAACCCACTGGCAAGGCCCCATGGGGCCCATCTTTACCCTGTCGCCCTTCCAGTGGTCAGAGGGTGCCCACAACCTCGGGGATAGCTTCTGGGCGAGCCCACAAGGACAGGCACCATGCTGAGGCCGGGGACAGGGCTGCAGCAGGAGGCCTGGGGTGTGGGGTTCACACAGGGTGGAGTCCACGTCCGTCCGTCCTGCTGGGACCAGAGGGGCACTTGCAGTCACTGCGGGCTCTGGGGTACCCGGGTGGAGGAGGCTGCTGAGGGGAGGAGGGCCTGCTCACCCCGGGAGGGGGAGGCCTTCCTGCACATCCAGAGCAGCACCACATGCCGCGGTTACGCTCCCCTTATTTTCTTAAAGCGACACTATTTAGAGCAGCACATGCAGCAAGCGTTTTGGACGAAAGCTGGGCAGTGACTTTACTTCTGAACTGTGACTTCATCAGGGCAGAAGCTGGTGAGGGGCACATGGGGACACGTCACATTAGTCTCCCTGTTTTTGTGCATTTGTGATTCTCTGTAACAGAAAGTAGGAGAAAAAGACATAAAGACAATGAAAGGCAATGAACACAGTGGGGTCAAGTCTTTGTAACATCCAGCGGTGAAGCAGCACCCTCATCTATAAGGTGCTCTTACAAATCAATAGGAAAATCCAAAATCCCAACTCAAAGTGGGTCAAGGTCATAAACAAGTGATGTGGCCACAGAGACAAGGTGCAAAGCAACGAGTGTGGAAATGATCCTGTGTGCACACATGTGCATGGAAAAAAGACAGCAAGGGTGCATCTCAGGCGGCGTGGCACTCTGGGTGGAGGGCCGGCCTCGGGCAGCTCCAGCCCACATGCTGCAGGCACCAGCGTTTGAGGGGGAGCAGGAGCTCCTGCCACAATCAGAACGTAAGTCAGAGGCGGAAAGCAGACATCCCAGCAGGCGGGCAAGTGAGCGAGGAGGCCGGGGAATTCAGCTCCTGGGGCCTGCGTGGCGCCGACGGCTGCGGGAGGGAGGCAGCAGGCTTTTCAGGGAGCTGGGGGAGCCATAACGGATTCAGCCTGAAAATCACATTTCCCCCGCAAAGAGGGAGCCCGCCGCACTGGACCAGACACCATGGAGGGCGGGGGGTGGACAGAGAGGGCCCCCCAGTGACCTCTTCTTGCCCCAGGCTGTCCACGTGGACACCCAGCAGCACACAGCCGACGATTATGCAGAGCATGACGCCCATGTGCAGGGAGAACAGTCTGGGGTGTTCTTCCCAAGGGGTTCTTGCCCTGTGCAAATGGGGTGCCCCAGGCCAAGGGCAGGCCAGGTCCAAGGCAGCGCTGGTCAGCCCCAGGGCAGGGCCACTGGGCAGGAGGTCCGGGAGGACTAGGGGCTGTGAGGGGGCTGATGTAGGAGGCTCAAGGTCAGGTCAAGGTAGGGACATTTCTGCGGGCTTGGGGAGCTCAGAGGCCAGGGCCAGAGCCAGGTCTGGGGAGGGGCCAGGTGACCGCAGGCTGGACGTGGCACAAGCAGGCCTTACCCTGGCGGGCGGGCAGGTGGGGCAAGTGAGCATCTCAGCTGCTGCCCACTTGGCAGGCAACATGAGCCACAAGGAGCCAGCACCAGGGCCTCCCAAAGGGTCTCAGCCTGAGAATCCCACTGGGGCAGGTCGGAGACACATGCTGCCTGTGCCAAATGTGGCACCCTCCAAATCTCCTTGGTTCCCTGGGACCGCCTCTCTGTGAAGACTCATGGGATGGGGATAGGATTCAGAGCAGCCCCCTAACTCCGCTCCTGCACCTGACCCAGGTTCCAGCAGCAGCTGCAGCCCGAGGCCCATGCCCTGCAGGCTCTGAGGGTGGGGTACAGGCAGCAAGGACCCACCTCCTCCACCGTTCCTGTGGCAGCCAGCCCAGGGGAACCCCAAGGGCTCAAGGCTGCAGGGTTGGGAAGCCATGGAGCTCCAGGCAAGGGTGGCTGGGGGCTGGCAGTCACAGTGCCCTCTCTGCCTGCATGGAAAGCCCACCCACCCCATCCCTGACCATGAGAGGGGAGCCTGGGGGGGTAAGGGAGGGTTTGAGCCACAGGCATCCCACGGTGTGGGGTTGGCTGGCTCGCTGCCTCCATCACCTCCTCCACCAGACAACTGGCCTGCAAGGTGGCCTGTGTGGTTCCCTCAGTGCCCCACCCCCAAGTCCTGCTTACCCTCCACCCCATCTCAGGGAGAGCAGAGAAGCACTGGGGGACAATTATGAGGGCCCAGCCATATCCGACCGCACTCTGGGACCCAGGCATTGAAGAGGAGGGGCCTGTGGCTCACAGCCAGGCTGGGGCCAAATCCAGACAGATCCGACCAGCACCAGGGCCTGGGAGCCCAGCCCCTACCAAAGGGCCAAGGGATCAAGAGATGCCCTGATGGGCCCCCCCGCCCCGAGGCACAGCCAGGGCAGCTGTCTAGCCAGGCTGAGGGCTGCGGCCTGAGGACATCAGTGCCCTCTGCCTGGAATGCCCTTTCCCCACTCCAGCAGTGGACCCCCCCCCTCACCATGGCAACACCCAGGCTTCTCCGGGAGGGACAGAGCCTCTTTGTGGTGGTACAAAGCCCCTTTGAGGGGTGGCGGCGGTGCAGCCCCTGGAAGCCTGTGGCCAATAAGCCTCTGGGGGGCAAGGCAGGGCCCCCCTGCCCATCACCCTCCTTGGTAGGAGAGCCTGGTGGTTAGAGGCTGGGACACATCCCCACTTCCGCACCCCCTGCCCTAGCTGCCCACAGAAGGGTCCCTGGGAGGAGCCCAAGGCCCGAGCAATGGCTCTCTGCTGGGGGTTGGGGGTTTTCCTACCGTCTTCCTCATGGTTTTGACAAGGAACACACTCTGCCTGGAGAGGTGGAATGGAGGAGTGGAAAAGGCATTGGCAGCAGGGAAACTCCCATCTAACGGGAACAAGCTCAGGGCCCAGTGGAATGGACAGTCCAGTCCTCGTGGGGCTGGCAGGGCAAATGGCAGGAGGTCCGGCGTCAGGCCGGCTAGGGGGCTGCGCACGCCCCAGCTCACTGTCTCTCCCTTCTCTGGCTGGCTCCCCTGCTGCAGGGGCCCTGCCATCACCTGTCCACCCTGGGCAGGACGCGGCTGGCTCAGCTGAGGAGCTGGGTCAGCCCTGCTGCAGCCACAACCTCAGGGCAGGCCTGGCCTGGACAAGGGCGAAGTGGCCTGGTTCGCCCCAGGGTTGGGGTGATGGGACCCTGAGGACAGTGTCAGTCCCAGCCATGGTGACAGGACCCAGCACAGAGTGCCCCCCGCACCCAGCATGGCCACCCTGTCTGTGCCCCAGCCCCACAGCCAGGGAGGCTCACCCCAGCAGGTCCCCAGCGCTGGAGGTGGCCTCAGGCCTGGAGTCCCTGCCCACCCTAGCCCGTGGGTCCCTGAACTGCTGACTGCTGCTGACCAGGCACTTGGCAGGGCCCCACATGCTGGGCGCTCTGCCTGCATGGCCCTCCCCAAGTGACCTCAGCCTGACCCACCGCAGCTTTGCTAACTAAGCCCCTGGGGTGGGGTCACGGCCCCCAGGCTGCAGCATGAAGCAGCGCTGGCCCCAGGAGGGATTTGTCCCTTTGTGGGCAGATTCACACAGGTCCCAGGGAGGGCTCAGGGGCCGCCTTGGCACAGCAGTACCCCTCCGAGTCAGCAAGTGCCCCATGCACCCCCATGAGGGCCCCCACCTCACCCTCCCCGCCTGCTTTCCCGTGGGCCTTCCTGCTAGCTGCTGACACTTGC